TGGACCCAGCCCATACACTTAGGCTAGGCCAACACTGGCCCGGCTCAGATGCAATTGTAGAACGTGAACAGCGGTTCACATTCTGCATGCAACCGAAATGGTTGCAGGAGGCGGCAGTTGGCGGAGTGATGGAGGCAACCTTGCAAAGGAGAAGCGGCTTCTGTCACCAGCTTGGCGTCAAATCGATGGAGGTGCTAATTAAAGAAACAGTGGCCTCAGCTAACTGTGGTGTTGGAAGAAAATGGAAGAAGCGGGGGGGAGAAAATCTATATGGGGGAGAGAGAAAACCTCGTGGTGACTCTCGGCGGTTGGCTGGTGGCTTAATGTGGTGGAACTGGTGGTGGAGAAGCTGTTTTTGACTTTGTTTGGTGGCTAGAACGGCAGAGGGAAAGGGCAAGAAAAAAATTGCAAAAAACCGAGCAGAGGAGGGCTAGATTTTGGTCGATTTTAGACCCGATTTTTCTCCTCTCTCAGGCCATCAAATTCACCTCTATTTATAAGTGATGGAAGAGGGCAATGTTGTCTACGCTGGGGTAAAATTTTAGCCCTTGATTCTGTTGGGAAAGATCTCAACCGTTAATTCAAAGTAAGCATGATGCACTGTCAAATCTACCGAAAAAACTGTCTAAGTTGGCATGTTTAGACTGAATTCTATGCCAATAGGTTGTCATTCTGACTGAACTATTTACACCATGATGTAGAGGAACTGCAGATGATCATTTTCATGCAAATTTGGATAAATTTGGTAGACATTTAGTATATTAGATGCACCTACAAAGTAAGTTACCGAACCAATTTTAACCGGGTAAAACAAGAAGACAATGAACAGTGACCAGACAACGTGTCATCTGGTCCTCTCTTCTTTTTTTTAGTAAAACGGCGTTGTTTTGGACTAAAATAGAGATTTTTACTAAATTTCAATTGAGTTTTTTTTCTTTCAATTTCTTTCAATTGAACACCTAATTGACTTTAAACTTCAGATTTATTGCAATTAAGCCCCTCCTGAACTTCAATTGGAACCCTGAAATTACACGTTAATTTGGTTCATGATTAAATCAAATTAGCCTATTAAAAATTTAATTTATCCTTGGACTTAATTTTTCACTAATTATACCCCAAATAAAATTAATTTGACCCATTTAAAGTATAATTAAGTCTTTGCACTTAATTAAATCCTTCAATTGAGCTCAAATTAATTCTTAAACGTAATTAAAATTTAATTTGGCTCATGATTAAATCAAATTGGCTTATTAAAAATTTAATTATATTATTGGACTTAATTTTTATGAAAATTCATCCAAAAATCATTTAATTTGACCATGAATTTGTATTTTTTATCTTTTCTTGGGCATAATGGGATACAAGTAGGTCTTGAATTTCCTTCAAAAATTGTAGCTTAATTTTCCAGCCTGCTTTCTCCATATTGCTGGCTATTATTTTATTTTTATTTTTTATTTTTAAAAAATAAATTTTTAAAAAATAACCCAGAATTAAATTATAATACTTAGATAGACCAAATTATCACATTAGTATATCTAGGAAGTGTATCTCAATAATATCAAAATGAAGCAATGGAACATATACTACCCAGAGCTCAAATCCCTCATGACATATAAGTGAAGTTGAAAGTATCAAGGTTTTTATATATGGTAACTATATAACCTATCAGAAAATATATAAAAGTTTTATATTAGATAATAAGTCGAAATTAAAAAATTGATGCTCAAATAAAAAAAAAACAATATAATAAATTTGTAATTTATACCTAATATAATTATTATGCATCCAACTCATTCTATTATAACTCATAAACATGAATGGGATTTACCATGAAATGTTTAACCCCACACCATTTGACATGATAAGTCATAAAATTAATATATTTTTTCATTCAATTTATATATAATAACATGTTAATTAGAATTGATTTTGTTTTATTATCAGTTAGAACTAATAAATAGTGATATTTAAGTGACAGTGTTCCATATATTATAGTATCCAACATATTATTACCCTAACTTTTTAGACATCCAATATAAATATGTTATCACGGCCAAAGTTATATTAAATAACAATAATAGTTCCAAGGTAGTATTTAAACGTAATAAATAATAACAGTTAAATTACTTAAAATAATTATACCTACAGGAATCATTCAGAATGATTTGTGTTTTTTAGACATCTTACATAATTATCACCTCATAATTTGATTTCATTTCATTTGAAGGGATAAACACTTTTTACTTAAAAATATTTTAAAATAAATTTTTTTAAAAAAATATTTTTGATATTAATACATCAAAATAATTTAAAAATATAAAAAAAAATACAAATTCCATGAAAAGATGGTTGCACCGCTATCCATAAACATAAAAATCAGAAGAAGAAAAAAGGAGATTGGCAAAGTTTGCTGATCCCATATTCAAAACAAGAACAGATATTATAAGCAGGTAGGTGAGCAATCCATTCGAAATTAACCATCTTGGACCTCAAATTGTTAGCATTTATTTGGAATACTAACAAAATTCTCATTGACTCCCACAATATCAATAAATCAGTTCAGAAACTCGTTCAGTACCCCTAGCAGTCAAGTCAATACTGTTAACAATATTTTAATATGAAACAGTTCCATAAGTTTTCTATCACTTTATATTAACATTAACATTAAAAAAATAAAATTAAATCTCCTAGCAATTACTATGCATCTAGACATGTAACATTATTTATTTAAATAGTATAATTATGGGATTTCTCTTCAACAATAAACTTTAAATTATGCACATTAGATAAGATAATTTTTTAGATAAGATAATTTTTTATCATGATTCGATTATTATTTTTAAATTATACAAGTGTAAAATAATTTTTTTTGCATTTTGTAACAGTAAAATAGCTTTGTTATCTCTTAAAAATAGAAAAGCAAGCACTCAAATTCAAGTGCTTTTTAATTCTTTTAGTTTTTAACACAGTAAAATGACATGATTATTTTTAAAGATAAAAGATAAAACCTACTAAATTATCATCTTATTAGGGCTTTTTCATCCTTTCATTTTGATTTTTTTGTTACTATTAAATTGACTCGAGGTTGTTTTTGTATTTTAATAAATATTAAATATTATTAAAAAAATATTTATTATCATATACAAGATCTTCTAGTGTTTAATAGTCTCAACTTCCTATTTATGATGAAGCGGTGCATGTACTATTTGTAATGAAGCGGTGCGTGTGTTGCCAATAACCCTCAAGTTAGGTGCTGATGATATTTTTTTTTCTCATTCCTGATTTTTACAATCACCTTTTCAAAATTTCAAAGTTATAATTCAATTTATTTTTCATATTTGGCCAATATATTTTTTATCACTATTTATTTTATTTGAAATAATATATTAAATTGAAGTTCCTCACTAATTTCATCTCTCTTTAGTTTTTTCTTCTTTCAAATATGATTATTATTCTTTTAATTGCTATTTATTTTATTTAAAATTTATTTTAGAATTTTTTATATAATTTCATTTTCTTTAAGTTTTTTTCCTATCAAACTTGATTCTTATTCTTTGTATTGTTATTTTTTTTTACTTTGACAAATCTTTTAAAATGATTTTTTTACACTTTATTCTTTAATATTAAATTAGTTAAAAATTGAGATTCTTGATTAAACTCAAGTCTAAGATTTCACAGCTTGCAAGTTTTAAAAACTAACTCATGTTTAAGAGATTCACCTAGATTTACTTGCTTTTTTTTCTTGCTCATGTTTTTTTAGTTTTATCATTCAATATTTATTTAATTGAAAATTGATTTTTATTATTTTTTTTGTTTGTTTTTCATTAAATTTCTCACTAATTTTAAAAATGACCTAGATTACCTTGATTCTTTTTATTTGTTGTCCTTTGTTAAGTTTACTTTGGCAAATCTTTAAAATTGATTTTTTTTCTGATTTGTAATTTTTTTTTTAGTTTCATCCTTCAATGTTATAGTTTTTTTATAATGGGCTTCATGATTTTATTTAAATTTTTTTATTTATTTATCTCAGTCTCATTACTCAAATCATGAGTTTGAAAGGTTAATCTGAGTTAACTTAATTTTTTTATACATCATCTTCTTTTAAATTTCATATCTTTTTATGTTTTGTCTATCAGCATTTTGTTATTTTAAAATTGAGTTTCATCATTTTTTATCTTTTATTTGGTTATTTTATTTACATGATCTAGATCATAGAGTTTGGTTAGTTTGCTCATGGTTTTTTCTTTTATTATTTTATTTTTAATTGATTTTAAAAAAAAAATCTACATTAAATTTGTTTGGAGTTAAACTTCAATTTTGTTTTTTCTATTAACTTATTTCAGTGTATTGACATATTGCATATGTGTTAAACTCGCTTAGGTTAGATCATGTTGATTTTTTTTTCTTTTTTGTTTTAGATTTTTTTTCATTTGATTAGCTAGTCTTAGCTTTGTCATTTTTTTTATTTCAATAACTTTGTTTGGCAGGTTCCAATTATTTTTTTAAAACAAGTCAATTTACTATTGTTATCTATTATTTTATTATCTAATTACATTATATCGGTTTTTTTGCTCAATCGAATCCATGCCCTGTCATGTTTTTTTTTACTTCTTTAAAACATGCTTGCTTCGCTTCACTCTAGCATCCTTTATTAACCAGTAAGAAAAAATATTACGGCCTAGAGCATAGCACCTGCCCATAAATCTAGCACAAAACTTTAAGCCTTTTATTACTTATTCTCCAAGTTTCTCTCATTACCGTCTAAAGTATTTTAGTCTTTTCATATTGAAAGGGGAATATGGCTCTATTCCAACAACTATATATGTGAAGCTGAGATTATCGCCGCCTGAATGTTATTTTTTTATGTTGAGATAATTTGTCCCAACCCGTAGCATATTACAGCAACAATAGTATCCGGAGACACACTACAGCAATTAACATTTGAGATCTTCACTAGGATTTGAAGTTCATTAGTTTCTGAAAAGGTTGGAATGGTGACTTCAGATTCCTCCAGGAGCTATCCTCACAGTGTAGCTGAAGGCTGATTGGAACTGTAGTTGAACAAAAACAAAAATCTACGCAAGAATCATGCGGAAAGAGAGAGATCACCATACTATTTAATTAGAGTTCCTTATATGGATTGCCATAAAACTAGCTGGCGCAGTACTTCCTGCATATATAGAGTCTACAAGTAATTAAGATGGTAGCTAGTTAGAAAAAGAAACCATAGTTTTAAGACCTCGACAGTGGAGAATATCGTTTCAGTAATTAAAAAAAAAACTTGGGTTAACAGAGTTTTTGCTGTACTCGGGCCTCAGGCCATATCACCCTAGGTCAGGTCTAATAATGATAGAAAAAACTATGGTCAGCCCAGCAGCTGATAGGTATGCATCCTAATCCTGGGAATATACCTCTCCACCCTCTTCCTGCCTACACCTCGAATTGCAACTAGGCTGTTTGGCATCCTCTTTTTTCTGTTTCTCCAGAAGCTGGGTGCCTCTTGCAGCCTTTGCTTCAACTCCCTTCAAAGATTTGGTAGGATTTCCTTCACCATCATAATAGCAACCAACCAGTTTACCAACAAACCTGACATTCGGATTTGTGATTGCGACCACCAAGTCAATATCAAGAGTTGTACTTGTTCAGTGAATATTTGATTTCTGTACCAATTTTATCTCTCTTGTTTTACTGATGACACCAATGTTCCGGACATAATCTTAGAGAATTTGGCAATTCAATATAGACTGTTAGAATTATTTAGAACTGGATGAGCAGAAAAGATATTAAATTCATAAGAGCTCCATAGTATCGGATTTTTCTTTTTGCTCCTGCATACTAAGCTCAAAGGACATAATATGGACAATTTGCGACTCACGTGTAGCTTCTGAAGTAGAATTCTCGCTATTCAACAACACTCTTCACCTACAGATGCGGCAATAATTGAATCATACAGCACAGAACTTTAGCAATATACCAACATTAGCATGGAGCAGGTATGAAAAGTTTAACAAATTGATCCATAGTACAGAAATGAAGTTGGATGTGTATGTTATTTTCTTTTTGAAACGTTTTGAAAAATAACCATTGTGTTAAGAGAGTTTAAAAAAAAAACGACTCTTAAAATGATATGGAAGCTTTAAACAGAAAGTGAAGGATGATGCATGGCATGGCATGGTATGGTAGTCAACCTTTAACAGTGCCCAAACCAATGACTATGTCCAATATGCTCATTAATTAGTAAATTTTTCCAAGATGAACTGTGTGCTTTGAACTACCTTTCTATATGCTATAAATAATGCAACAACAAGGTGGAGTTGTTCTCTGACAAAGAAAATGGTCAAAGTAGGGCTGTGCCGCACCAGACTTGCGGTGCACATACACAAACATTCCTCAACCTCAAGGAAAGGGAACATGACGGGGATAACGTCAGTACTGGAAAAACTTCTTAAGCCTATTGTGATTTAAAACTTTGATTAATGGAGTAAACAACTATTTTTTATAGGAAAAATTGTATATCCTTCCTGAACAAAATCTTTTCAATGTCAAAACAACACGTTATAAAAAGTTATAACAGGATAAAAGAAACCAGTATGACTAGATAAGAATACCCTCGTTTTCACTAACAAGCAAAGTCTCCCAATTAATCTCCCATGAGAGCATCCAAAAAAAGCGTCAAGAGGCACATCCATGATCACTTTACATTTATCAAGCTCATGTCTACACCTCCGATAACCACACGAGCTAAGGTGTAATTAACTTGCATAAGAGAAAAGGAATTTATGCAATATCTACCCCCTGTAAAAAGTGGTGTGAAGATTAGAAACCCTAACAAATTTTATTTTTTTTATCAAGATCATGGATATGATACTAAAAAAATATCATGCCCTAAAAAGAAAAATAGAGAGATTGATCATCAAATGTTGTCTTCACAGTTCATGAAAAAAAATTAAGCAAAAATACATGCATACTTAATGATCTATCTAAAATTAAATAATCACCAAATTAGCTATAGAGATTATACCTCCATTTTTTTTTAATTTTTCAAATAAAAAAAATAATATTTCTCTATATCTCTATTAAAATCTCCAAGATATATCTCCATGTCTTTATATCTTCAAATATATCTTCATGTACTAATTTCAACATCAAAGTATCCCATATCTCAACAAAAAACCAGTTTTACAAGAACCACTTATCTGCCTAGTTTGCTAGTCGAGAAAAATAATTTTTCTATGTTAAGTTTTTTCATGGCTTCATCACAAGCATTGTCATGGATTATCCATGCCCAGTTCTATAGAAAGGTTGACTTGCTATAACCAAAAGAGTTATGGAAGGCCTCCAAATTAGTCCCAAAAAGTGTTGTCCAGCCGAGTTTTGTTATTTAAAAAAAAAAATTCTTAGTTTATTTAAGACTTTTATTGTTTTTTTTATTTATGATTATGACCCTTAGTTTTCTATTTCATTTAGGTTGGTTTTTTTTTTGTTTTCAGGAGTTTTAAGCCTTTTAGAAATACATACTACTTCAACAAAATATATAGGAATAAGATTTTGAATTAAAGATTTTGTGTGGGGGCATATTTAATAGAAATTTATATTGCTTGTACATTTGTTTTATCTAAATTAGATATTATATAAATAAATGCAAAATATTTATGACAAGGAAGGGATAAAGTGTTTGATGATGTACAATTAATTCTTTTTTAATGCTGTGGAACAAGTAAATTGTACTGTAGAGTCATCAACTGAGAGTAAAGGTGTAATATTTTACTTTCCATATCTTAGAGCTCCAAAATCAACATGTTACCTCCGCAAAATATGCTCCTCGCTGTTCGGATAGTCAAATCCCTTGGCTCCATGCATTAAATGTGAATTAAAGATTTTGTGTGGGGGCATATTTAATAGAAAATTAAAAGTTACTGGTTAAACTTTGAATTTATTTTTTAAAAATCATTAGTTAAATTTTTATAAATTATTAAATATATAAAATTATTAATTATTAAATATATAAAATTATTAATTTTAAAATTTATAAAATTAACTAAGATAAAGCGCCAACGTAAATCTTAAAAAACAAAAAACAGCCAATGACAGATGTTGGAGACAGTGCAAGGTTACGTTTATAGGTGCAACGTTACGTTACTGGCTACCAGACAATTTTGCTGATAAGATTTTGTATATTATAGTGATAATTAATTAGTAAAATCCCTGTATTTTGGAGGTACCTGTAAGCTACGATTCAGAAATTAATTAGATGGTTTCCAATGGTTTACGTGGTGGGTCTGTCTTAGGGGAAAAAACAGGTATAAAAAAAATATGATCTATTAAAAATATCTTTATTTAAAAGTTTATCGTTGCTATTCCCTCGTGTCTGTAAAATGTATCGTTGTTATCACTAGAGTCCAACTACAATGACCTGGCAAAACGTGACATTAATAAAATAAAAGTAGAAAGTTCAAGGAAGATACAATTGGAAATAGAAAAACAAGCATTTCTGGCTATAAATCACAGGAAAAGCCTCTCCGAGCCTGAACGTAGTGAAGCAAGCTAGCTAGTAAGGGGGAAGGACAGAGATATGGGATCCATTTCCAAGCCTCATGTTGTTATGATCCCAAGTTCACTCCAAGGTCATATAAAGACTATGCTTAAACTTGCCAAGCTTCTTCACTACAAAGGTCTTCACATCACGTTTGTCAACACAGAATTCAATCACAAACGTTTCCTTAGGTCAAGAGGACCTCATGCCCTTGACGACTTGCCTGGCTTCCATTTTAGAACCATTCCTGATGGCCTCCCTCCTTCAGATATTGATGCCACCCAAGACATACCTTCTCTTTGTGATGCCATGAACAAGAATTTCTTAGCACCCTTTAAAGATCTTCTTTTACAACTCAAAAATACCGTATCGGAGAACAACCCTCCGATTACCTGCGTTGTTTCTGATCCCTTCGCTCCGATCTCCATCAAAGCTGGGGAAGAAGTTGGTCTTCCAGTTGTGATGTATGCCACTATGAATGCATGTGGCTATATGGGATTTAAACAGCTCCATGCTCTTAGAGAGACAGGCTTCACCCCAATCAAAGGTAATTCACATGCTAGTTTATTATTTAAGTTATCATCAATTACAAGTGAACTCCCAAGCAAAGTGGCTTTATTACACCATTATACAACTTCTTTAGTATTTTGCTGCTTTATTCTTTTCTAAATTTTCAAACATCCAGATTCTCCCTTGCAAGTTGATGGAGAAATGATTATAAAACATTATCACGACAACAATTTCTTTTATTTATAATATAATATAATATATTATGTTTATATATACTGTACGTTCGACG